TTTGAGAGTAAATAGTAGTAGGTAGTACTTCACTAAGGAGCGCGCGATGGATAATGAAAATATGAAATAGGTACACTGTATAACGGGGCAGTCTTGCCATATCTAAATAGTTCACGGTAGGGGGAAATTGTATGAAATTACCGTACGAGGACCGTACACTGGTTTTTAAAGAATTACCGATGGACCGTACAAATATGATAGTGTTTTTATCACTTTTAATCACTATTCATACTTGATAACCGTAAACCAATTAACAAACAAAAATTGAAAAATACAGTCATAACCTATAACTATTATAATAATTAATAATATGTTCATAATTAATGTTTTAATTACACGTGACTAGTCTTATAAAATAATAAATATAAATTTAAACTTTAAAGTAATAATTCAATAAAAAAAAAGGTGGGCAATTGGGTGTCGCTCTGCTGTACAGTAGGTTACAAGTGGGTCACTGTATAATGGATGATATTAAATTTGAATTCAACGATATAATATCATTGTATAAGAAAAACGATTCTGAGCGGAGACAGTATGTCAGTCTAGGTATAAGACATATTATATACATTATTATAGGTACCTATAATAAATTCCAAAATTAATCATATCAAAATATCCATTAGGTATTTATAACGCGTTATACATCAACAAAAACCGTGATACTATCATAGATATATAATAGTACACTTTAGACGTTTCAAGTATCCACGAATAATATTATTCAATCACAACAAAATAACTAAAATAGTTATTTTTGTTTTTTAATATGTAATTTCGTCTAAATTTGAATTTAAAATGTCTGTAAAAAATTACTGTGTTCATACATTTTTTAGATTTTTTGGTTATAGTATGAACTATTTATGAGAATCTTTGTTTTAAATTTTCAACTCTTAGTTACATTTTTAGTGAACATTTTATAATTTTTTAATTCCAACGATTGATAATTTTCGAGATTTTGATAAATTTTGTCAAAATTCCAACTTTAAATGCTTATAAAAAAAATCGTGCCTATGTATTTTTAAAATTTTTCAACTGATATTGTAACAATATATAAGAAAGCTTGTATTAAATTTTCAGACTTTTTGGCCCACCAAATAAAATTTTATTGACAATTATAAAAAAAAAAACTAAAAAAATTGAAAACTGAAAATGTCCGTAAACAGCTCAAAAAGAGTCAAAATATTTTCAAAATTGTATGGTGTATAGGAAATGCTAATATAAACATTCAGTGAAATTTTCATGTATCTACAGTTATTCGTTTTTGAATTACAACAAAATAAGGAAATCGCTACATGAGAAATCGAGTGAACATCCAATGTTGTAAAAATTTGAATTTCAAACGCTCATAAAAATTTAATTTGACTTTCCGGTAGAGATTTTTTTATTGATAAAGGTAGACAAACTTATGAGTAATCTTGTATTACATTTTCAAATCTTAGATTTAAAAAGAAAAATTTTTACGAATTCTTAACTCAAAATAATTCGCTAATTTTCGTGATTTTTCCATATTTTTACAATTTTTGAACTTGAAATGCTTATAAAAAAAAATTGTGACTAAGGATTTTTAATATTTTTCATCTGCCTTTGAAACAATATATTAGGAGCCTTCTATTAAATTTTCAAGCTTTCGCAACCAACAAATAAAATTTTATTGCTATTTTTAGAAAAAAACTAAAAAAAATGGAAAATGAAAATGTCCCTAAACAGTTCAAAATAAATCAAAATATTTTGAAAATGTTATCGTGTATAGAAAATGCAAATATAAACAACCAGTGAAAATTCCATGTATATACGTTCATTTGTTTTAGAGTTACACCAAAAACCAAAATCGATTTTTTGGAAAACGGGATAATCACCATCAGTCTCAAAATTAAATAACGAAATCCAAAAGTCTTCTGCATATTGGATATTTTTAATATCCTCACACAAATTTGTGAATATCAACATGCGCCATTCATCATCTACTTTTTGAAGAGATTCGTCGTCATACAGTCTTGTAATTCTTGGTACTTCGTCAAAAATAGAAGTTAACGTCTGCAAGGAAGTAGAACTTAAAACATTAGAAGGTTGCAAATTTGAGAAACTTTTTAGCAACGTATCCCCAAAATCAAATCTAAAGAAAAATCAAAAAAGTAAAAATTTAAAAAAAATGAACATTACGTAAGTAATAAACTGGTAATTTAACAATTGGAAAATCAAAAACCCAAAGTTCCTTGGTGGAACCAAAACATTAAAGACGCTTTATTAGCCAAAAATGAAGCCTTAAAAACATTCAAAAAAACAAATAACTCGAACGATTTTATAATTCTCAAACAACTCAGAGCCAAATCAAAATACCTAATCAAATTATGCAAAAAAACCTCCTGGGAAAAATTTACTAGCAGCATTAACGATAAAGTAGACAGTAAACTTTTATGGAATAAAATAAAATCCCTAAAAGGCCTCAGTAGAAATAACAAAATAAACCTAGTGGACAAAAACACAAATCAGAAGGAAGCTGGCCTTCAACCTGGAAGAGTGGAATAGTAATCCCTATTCCTAAACCAGACAATGATAAATTTAGCATTGAGGGATACAGACCCATCACGTTACTCAACACAATGTGCAAGCTGATTGAAAAAATTATAAATCACAGACTTTGCTGGCTTTTAGAAAAACTCGCCTTCTTCTCCCCACACCAGAACGGATTTAGAAAAAATCGAAGCACCATAGACAATCTGATCGAAATCAAAGAAGACATCTCTCAAACATTCATCAATCAACAAATTATGGGCATGGTAAATCTAGATATCGCCAAAGCTTTTGACTCCACATGGAGACATAACATTCTAGTAAAACTCAATAAAATAGTTAGTAAAGGCAATTTTCTAGAAAACCGTACATTCAGGGTAAGAGCAAATAATTGTCTATCCGATGAGTTTATCCAAGAAAACGGCGTTCCTCAAGGCTCTGCACTCTCAGTCTCTCTCTTCCTGATAGCTATCAATGACATTACCAATAACTGTCCAGATCCCGTAAAATTCAACTTATACGCTGATGATTTCAACTTCTGGTGCAGAAGTAAATCCAAAAACACAGTTCAAAGTCTACTCCAAACTACCGCAAATTATCTAGAAAATTGGACAAAACTAACTGGATTTCAATTCTCTCCAGAAAAATCTAGTAGCATAATTTTCACAAAAAAAAAGAATGTTGAAGCTCTAAAAATCACAATTGACAAAGTTGAAGTTCCTCATCGAAACTCTGTAAAAATACTGGGTGTCATCTTTGACAGACGCTTATCGTGGACCCCATACATTAAACACTTAAAAGCCTCCACCAGTCATTCTGTTAAAATTTTAAAAATTCTGAAACAAACAAAACTTTTCGGTCTTGTTTAAAAAAATTATTAATCATTATTGTTACTTGTATTATTGTATAAAAACCTTGTTTGTGACTAATGGCCTTTGTCGTCGATGTTAACTTTTAGATCAATAAAAAAAAAAAAAAAAACTTTATTTTCACCTTTTTTTAATTTGATTGCAAGAAACTATTAAAAATTGTCTGCATCTTGTAAAAAAATCTTTCAGCATCTGTTTATTTGAGTAGATTTCAGGTTTATTCATTTTTTTTCATTACTTTAAAACCTAAATACATAGCCTCATCTCTCAAAAACTAACTTCTGTCATTAGGGATCAACTTCTAAAGGTCTGTTTTGTTTCTTCATGTATACATGTAAAAATTCTAATACAAAATGTATAATAAGATATAAATTAAGAATTAATTTGTATACCTACTATTGTTTTAAATCTATTACCTGTATACGTATACTGTCATTTTTTAATATAGTGTCACAATTACACCTTTTTCACTCTGAAACAATTTGTTTAAATGTAAAAATTTTGGTAAAACCCACTCTAAAAATTTGTAGAAAAAGCTGTATAAGTGGATCGTTTAAACTTTGCAGTATAATGTCAGTTGTTAATAGACGATCTTCGGAACTAAAACAAAATAATCAAATAACTTTTTTTTTACTGTCGCCATGATGCTATTACAGTTAGTTACATTGGAATAATTGTAATAATTACCCATGTTCTTTAAAATATTTATTCAAAGGTTCCCACTGTTCATTAAGTCTTCGTACAACCATTTCAAGCGATAACCATCTCGTTTGAGATGGTCTAAGGATACGATGAGGCTCCACATCACAAAACAGTTGAAACTCTTTGTATTAAGCAATACGTTTACAACTACTTTTAAAATAATTGTAAGTATCTCGAGCAAGATCTTCACATCTGCAACAACAATAATAATAATACTATAATGCTTTTTTCTACAGTGGAAAATTGAAAAGCGACAGCAAATTTACCTGCTCGGAAGGACTTTGCAAATCCTCACTTGCACACAATGCCAATGAGTGGCATATACATTTTTGGATCATCACTCCGGGAAAATCTTCTTTGAAACGACTAGAAACAGAATTCTATTGACCCATCATTGTGTTGCAACCATCAGATGCAAACCCTATGAGGTTTTCCAATGGAATTCCTTCTTTTCGTAATGAATTCAGTACTTCATCATAAATTCTTACTGCAGTAGCACCTTCATTTGCAGAATTACCATCTTTGAACAGTTGAACTAAATCCCAAAATTCCTACATCAGTGCTTTCGTCTATTATGATGCTAAAGTTTGTTTTTTTTTATATAATTTACTAGATCTATTTTATGATTTTGACCTATTACATTTTTCACAATGTTAGTGCTTTTGGTTCTACCCATATGAAAGCCTTGTGCAATCTTGGAATCCGGAAAAGCATCTTTTAAAACTTGAGTCAAATGATCCATACTGTTGAATGATTAAGGCTAGGTTCACATGGACGCGCGTACACGCGCGTTAGCACGCCACAAAACGCGCGTTTACCATTCAGATGGCTGCGTGTCACGCGCGTTGTACGAGAATGTTCTAATCAAAAACTATATTTAAAAAACAATATATAGTACAGTTCAGACTGTCATCGAGAATGGATGTGATAGATGCTGTGTGTTTGTGGGCCGTCCACCGAAGGATGAGAAGACGCAGACAAATGAGGGAAAGAAAATATTGGGTTCATCCTATTTTAAAAACAAGGCTTTCTCATAGTCTTTATGTCACGTTATATCCTAAACTTAGAGAACATGATGAAAAATTTTTCAATTACTTTAGAATGTCCATTAAATCATTCGATGACCTATTGGAGATAATTAAAGACTCCTTAGAAGCTGATGAAAATGCAATAAGATATTGCATTTCACCACAAGAAAAACTTATCGTTACAATAAGGTAAGTCTGTCTAAATTTTATTAAATTATTTATTTACTGAACAATATTACAAAATTATAACAAAATAAAAAATCAACCTTTAGACTTATAACAAGTATTTGTTTAACTTCTTAATAAATAATAAAACAAAATTACATTTGATATTGAAACAAAATAAAAAATTAACCTGTAGACTTATAACAAGTATTTGTTTAACTTCTTAATAAATAATAAAACAAAATTACATTTTATATTGAAACAAAATAAAAAATTAACCTGTAGACTTATAACAAGTATTTGTTTAACTTCTTAATAAATAATAAAACAAAATTACATTTGATATTGAAACAAAATAAAAAATTAACCTGTAGACTTATAACAAGTATTTGTTTAACTACTTAATAAATAATAAAACAAAATTACATTTGATATTGAAACAAAATAAAAAATTAACCTGTAGACTTATAACAAGTATTTGTTTAACTACTTAATAAATAATAAAACAAAATTACATTTGATATTGAAACAAAATAAAAATCAACCTGTAGACTTTAAAAACATAAAAAAACAGTACAAAAGAATCACCTTATATATTAGTTAAATTATTTTTTATCCAAATAAATCAAGATCTGACGACTCTTGAGAAATCTCACTATTAGGAGATAAAGGTGAAGGAGTTTGTAGAGGTTCCATATTTTGGTTAAATTGAGTGTAAATTTGATTTTGACGAAGCGTATCGTATGGAATAGTTGTATAATTTGGACGATCATATTGTGGGTATGCATATCCTTGCATATTTTGTTGGCTGTACGATGTGGATACATGGTTGGATTTAGAGATATCTGTACTTGAAGGTTGATAATTAGTTTGTATTGATTGATTTCTTAAAAGTAGGTTATAAATTTCGATTTTAGTTTTTAAACGCATTGCATCTGGTACTTTTTTAATTTCTTTATATAAAGATAAACAAAATAATTTATCTTCATCATCTTCTTTTTTTTCTACAGTATTCTTGTGATTTAAACTTTTTTCTATGATGTTGGCAAAGTGCTCATCAGCAGGATGAAGTTTTATTTTTTTTCGTTGCTGAAGAGGACTTTTGAAAGTACCTTCTTCATTTGAAACTCTGGAACTATTTTCCTCGATCGAATTTTCAGTCGATGATTCTAAATTTGTATCACCGTCAACATCTGCAGTTTCAAAATTGCTCTCGGTAGAATTTTTTTTTATTGTTGGCTGTAGAAATTGCAACCTTCTATAATATAAATATGACGACTTCACTGCTCCCGATCCAGACTTAACTTGTTTCATTTTTTTTACTTCCTTTACATATGCATCTCGAATACCCTTCCATCTCTTTTGTAATTCTAATCCTAAAACAAAAAATCGGATTGTAAACTGCACCTATATAGTACAGGTTATATATGACTCATGTAAGCTGTGCCCATGCATTTTTATGCATTAAAAAGTATCAAGAATATCGAAATAATGGTTGTTTATATTTGCATTTTCTATACACGATAAAATTTTCAAAATATTATGATTTGTTTTGAACTGTTTATGAACATTTTCATTTTTCATTTTTTTTTAGTTTTTTTCTAGAAATATCAATAAAATTTTATTTGTTGGGTAAAAAAGCTTGAAAACTTAATACAAGGTTCCTATTATATCGTTACAACGATATATGAAAAATATTAAAATTCTATAGCCACAATTTTTTTTTTATAACCATTTAAAGTTCAATTTTCGACAATATTCATCAAAATCTCGAAAATGATCAACCATTGTAATTAAAAATTATAAAATGTTCAGTTTTTATAACTAAGATTTGAACATTTAAGACAAAGATTCTAATAAATAGTTCATACTGTAACCAAAAAATGTAAAAAAATATATAAACAGAATTATTTTTTACAGACATTTTGAATTTTGGACGAAATTACATATTATTCAAATCAATATTAACGATTTTGGTTATTTTAATATAAATTAATAATTAATATAATATTTTTCCATCATCACTGATAATTTTAGGTTAATAATTAAATAATATTAATAATATTAATTCAACTTACCAGCTACCGTATAATAACAATATCAATATACCTAATTTAAAATATCCTAGACTGACATACCGTCTTCCCTCAGAATCGTTTTTCGTATACAATGATATTATATCATTGAATTCAAATTTAATACCATCCATTATACAGTGACCTACTTGTAACCTACTGTACAGCGGAGCGACGTCCACTTGACCCCCTTTTTTTATTTTATATTTCAGATACTTGTCAACAGGTTGCTCGATAACCGATTTACACTATAATTACAAAATTGGAGTATCTACTTTGAGTGGCATAATACGCCAGGTATGCCAAATCATATGGATTAAATTAAAAAATACTGTAATGAGTGAACCTAACAAACAGAAATGGTTAGAAATTTCAACAGGATTTGAAAAACGTGCAAATTTCCCAAACTGTATTGGAGCGTTAGGTAAGGCTAATTGATTACTATTGATAAAAAAAAAACAATTTTTTTAAAGAAATTTATGACTACATTTATTTATATAAATAATTATATTAAAAAAAATATTTTTATTTTTAACTAGTTAATGCCCAGTCTTGTAAATAATATGCAAAATTACTATTGATTATTAAAAATATGATTTACAGATGGGAAGCATATACGAATTACTCAACCACCAGATTCCGGTTCAATTTATTACAATTATAAAAATTTTTTTTCTCTCGTTTTGATGGCATTGTGCGATTCAAACTATTGTTTTGTATGGGTCGACATTGGAGGTTATGGTAAAGATAGTGACTCAGGGTTATATAAAGAATCTACGTTGTATAAAAAATTAACTGAAAAGAAATTAGATATTCCTGATCCCAAGCCTCTTATAATTGATAATGAAGATACAAAAGTCCCATTCGTAATTGTAGCTGACGAAGCATTTGGTATGACAGAAAATTTAATGAGACCTTATGGTGGCAAAATGTTATCCTATGAAAAAAAAATTTTTAATTATCGGTTAACGTTGGCACGTCGATATGTAGAATGCACATTTGGGATTATGTGTAGTAAGTGGCGAATATTACATAGACCGCTAGATGTAAAGATTGACTTTGCTGAAGTTATTGTTAAAGCCATATGCACTTTACATAACTATGTTAGAGTGAGGGATGGTTTTAATTATGAAGATACACTATACACACCACCATTATCAAATCTCAGTTCAACCTATACTGGCCGTCATGTACGTGATGCTGATATGATTCGAAACAAATTTACCAACTACTTTACAAATGAAGGGAAGTTAGAGTGGCAAGACAAAATGATTTGAACAATTTTATTCATTTGTAAATTTTAAAATAAATATAAATATAATAAAAGATTAATTACCTAAATTTTTCTTTTTCTCTTCTGAATCTTCAGGACCACCAAAGATAAGCACCAACTCTTCCCAACTTCTTCTCTTCATCGTTCGGTTTGAGTACTCATGCGTTGTCATGTCCCATATGGCAGGCCTTTTTTCTACTTCGTTAATTAACATATCTATTTCGATTTCCATACTTAAAAAAATATTAGTTTTCAAACACTATGAATCTATGATCAAAATTCGATCGTTCGCATCGAAACGCGCGTGTTAACTGAACGGTCCGATAATGATATATGGAATTTCAATCCGCGAAGTCACGCGCGTGTTCGTGCGGAAATAGATTCTCGCGTCGTTATCGCGATCGACGCGCGTGTACTCGTGTGTACGCGCGCCATATGAACAATGAATAAGAAATCCGTTTATCTAAATACGCGCGAAAAACTGGCGCGCGTGTACGCGCGTCCATGTGAACCTAGCCATATTGTGTTCAGCTATGAATCCACATATTTTTAGTTCAGCTCTTTTTATTGCTTCGTCATCTTTCCTTATAGCTGTTGTTGTAGAAAATAATCCTGTTTTCATACCAGTTATAGATTTTGCAGAGGTTATATGTTTCAAACTTCTCATGTGCTTCTTTATAGTAGTCAATTCTGAAACCATTTGCAATCGGCAGTAACAACAATATGCTTTCAAATGATTCTCAGGTACAGGCTCTAGCCAATTTTTAAATTCTTTAATTGTTGGCCATTCATCTCGAAACTTTTGTTTCCTATGACTTAATGCCTGGGACTGCTCTCCTCTGGGTGCTTTTGAAGTTGATTCTATATCTGACACATCATACTCTGAATCCACAGAATCAGCCATGGTTAATTAAAAAATAAATAAAAAATTTATTTGGCTGAAAAATATCACTTAAAAAATTAAAACACTCAATAACTGTCAATAACTGATGAACGTCGAACAACCACAGTACAAATTCCATATATGTGGTATATATTTAACAGTAAATAACCAATGTAAAAATCCCATATATGTGGTATATTTAACTTTTAATATATATTTAAATTTTTGAATTTAAGAGGGAATTTCGGGAGTTATTCTGTGATAATATGGTGATACGTTATCACGGACTAAGATATCTAAGTCCGTGCACGATTATAAAGAACAGGTTATCCGTCGGTATAAGATTTGTATGGCACAACCGCTGTCAGAAATTGTTACGGTGATATAGTTCGGCTATTTACCACTAGGTAGGCGCTGCTAGTTAATCGGGCTCTAAACGAATTGTTCATTGTCGTCATAAATATAAATCATCTATTGTGATTTGTGAAGACGAATCGTATAATATATTATTAATATTTAATATTATTGTCATAGTGGGGTCATACGTCAATATATTATTATTTTATTATATTATTTATTTCCAAATTATCGAAACATGCCATCTTCTTGCTGGGTTGTGTTTTGTACGTCAGGATATAAATCAAACCCAGAAAAAGTTTCACTATTCACTGTTTCAATTTCCTAAAAATGAAATTTTGAGGGAAAAATGGGAAAAATCTATTCCTCGTGCTAATCTTGTTGTCAACTCAAAGACAGTGATTTGTGAAAAACATTTTCACCTGATCAAATTGTTAGAACTTGGGAATCTGGTTCTGGTGCTTCAAAAGTCACGGTATTACCTAGGTACTGTAACTTATCCTTTGTTCAATGAATCTTTTTTTATAAAAAAATGTCTTAAACGTTTTTATAGATAAATTTAAAACGAGCAAAGCTTGTTCATGATGCTGTTCCAAGTATATTTCCGGGTCCAAAATATTTGTCAAACCCAGTGAAAAAAAGGAAATTACCATCTGATATGTAGAGTTAATTTGATTAAACTAATTTAATCCAATAAACTCTAGTTTTGGCACTACATTAGGGCTCGAATTGGTATATGTAAATATAATATATATAAATGTACCTATTTACTTTGTACTACACAGAATAACGTTATACTTTTAAATACTAAAAAACACAATGATATACATAATACATACACTAATTTCTAACTCCTGGTTCCTAATGTAAGTGACCACATAATAACTGATTATTGATATATAGTTTTTGTCGTCACCGAATAATCATTATTTATTTGTGAAAATTATGATCTAGCCCCCCCTCCCCACAATTAAGTCTTTAGAACTGGCCCCTATTGTAGTGAATTTAGGTATATTTTTCCATTTAAAAATTATGAAGAACATTTTATTAAATTACTAGGCAATAGGCATTTTTCAAACATTGCAAAACCACTAAAAAAAAAATAAACAAAAATATTAAATAATTTAAAATTTATCAAAATATTTTTAAAACACCATCGCACATCTCTTAAAAATTATATTATAATTAATAATAATAATTCAATCAGGTTGATGAAAAATAATTTAATATTATCAAAGTTTGTATACATTGTTAGTAGGGCCGAAATAAAAAAAGAGAGGTCTAAAAATACAGTAGGCTACACCCAAAATGCAGGTCTATAAATTGCCTATGAATAAACTGCTAATATTAAAACAAAAGGTTTGTCAATTAATTAATTAAAAAATTAGTTTTAACATGGTTTGTATAGGAAAATGTTAATATGTAACACGGATGACTTGCAGCGCTCGGCGGTTTTAAGAACTACACCACCGTAACAAAATCTGACCGAAAATATTCCTTCCGACGCATAACCTGTTCTTTATAATCGTGGTCCGTGTTCGTTATCAATGATAAGTAAATAAATAAAATTATTTAATATTATTAATAATAATGTTTTATATAGTAACTTATGAAAAAAAATAATATAATGTTGTATAATACTACAAAATAAATAATTATTATATCATAAGACGTAATTTTTTTTTTTTATAAGAAATGTTCAAATTACCGTATTATTCTGACATTTTTACCCGTCCGTCCGCAGACCGTACACATGGCTACAACACGATTGCGCAATTTTTCCTTTTTTGACCCGGCTAATTACACCACGATTGCGCAAAAAATTTGCAACACGATTGCGCCCCGATCCCCTTTTACCTGTTAAAATCACAACACCATTTCGCACCTAATGACATGTGTATATACTATATATACAATATATATATATATATATTAATATATACAACATAAAATAATGTATACATACAATACATACTTTCTATAACTTGCATAAACATATTAGGTGCACTCAAACTATAAATTCACAAAATGCACTTTTTCAAAATGAAAATATATAGTATTATAAATTATATTAATAAGTCAATATACTCAATATTATTTGTTTGTTGATATTATATACGAATACAAAATTGAACGAGTGAGCATTGGTATTTATTTTTATTTTTATAATTTTATCTGCTCGTCGACTTGGTGTAAAGCAATAAATTAAGATAATAAAGATAGGTAACATTTTCTTAATAAGCGATATCATATCGGTGTTGGATGTTGGTATTTATGTTTCATTCGCAATTTGTATCGAGTGAACGTATGTAGTGTAACGTGTATAGTGTCAAATAGTGTATCAATTATTAAAATGGATCTAAAAATTCAAAAAATATTTCAAACAGAAAAAGGCAAGCCGTGCATCTTAGTCGATGGATATAAATACAGGGAATTCTATGTAGTGAAAAAATGTGGTAGTATCCGATACCGTTGTACTAATAAAAATTGTTCTGCTAGTCTGCTTGTTAATAATGATGTTACAATAGTTATTAGTATGCTTAGTGATCATTATAATCATAATGTTATTGCTGATAATATCGTTGGTAGGCAAATTATCAATTCCCGTATCAAAAGGAAATGCGAAAATGATTTATTAACAAGGCCGAATAAAATAATTCGAGCTGAACTTCAAAATGCAGAAAATGATATCGAACTTGTGCATTCTGATTTGAGGTTATTGAGAAAAAGTATGTACGATTTCCGTCGTAAGAGTATGCCTAAAATTCCAAAAAGTTTTGAAGATTCAAAAGTTCAAATATTTGATAGATGCGAAAATATATTAAGTAATACTGGTGAGTTATTTTGTCATATGGAAACAATGTCAAGTCCGGTAATGTTTACTTGTGCTACTAATCTTGAAATATTAAGTCAATGTTCTCATATATTCGCCGATGGGACGTTTTCACATTCCCCCAAATATTATGAACAACTTTATACTATTCATATATTGCAAAATGGTTTTTATATAGTACCTATAGTGTTTTGTTTTTTGACTTCAAAATCAACTCAAACATATATTGATATGTGGCTTACAATTGTAAAATTGTGTTTGAAATTGACTGGTATAAATATACAACTATCATTGGCTCAATCAACTTTTCATTTCGATTTTGAAAAAAGTGCACATACCGCTGTTAAAGAAATTTTCCTGAACTGCAGAATTATGGCATGTAGGTTTCATTTAAATCAAAGTTGGTTTAGACATATTCAAAAGGATAATCAGCTATTAAATGAGTATAAATCAAGTTCTGTATTGGGTGTTTGGCTAAAAAAATTTTTTGCTTTAGGATTTCTACCAGCCAATTTAATAGAAAATGCTTTTTTACATTTAATTGAAAATGCTCCTACGTCTAATTTTGGATTTGCCGATTATTTACTTAAAAATTTACAATGTCGATAAAAGATAGAAATTCACGAAATCCAATTATTAAGACCACCAAATAATTATCATAGGAATAAATAATTTAATAAAAACCTATAGTATCACCGTTTTTGGCGATCCAAATTACATTTTAGCATATAACAGGATTACCGTATACTCAGGATTACTATGTGACATGATTACCTCGTAGGGATATGATTGGCTAAGTCGTAGTTCAAAATTTTGATTTTTAATGAATTATAAACCGATTCGTCTCTACCGGCACCGTTCATATTGCGTCCGCCCGGTACTTATAATATAGAATAAAATTACTAAAAATCCAAATTTTGTACTACCGCTTTCAAAAAGATATCCCTCGACTTCAATTGACTCACTCTATACTAACAAATACTTTTAAGTCCCTTGGTAAGCGAATCGGACATATAAACGTGGTATAGATAAACGACAGATAAACGTGGTATATCACCACAGTGGCGTAGCCAGGATTTTTTTTAGGGGGGGGGGGTTTTTTGTAATAAAATGTAACTTGTGGAGGATTTCACACTTCCTGAAATGTACTCATAAATTGTTTAAATAAATTATAATATACGTTTAACTTTTAAATATTTATTTAAAATAATTTTTTTTCTTTTTTTACAAATAGTATTAAATAACATATTATGTTTTATAACAGTCTAATGCGGCGACTCTTTCTGGCCATATTTTCAATAACTTCTTCAACTGTTACTTTTACATCACGGTGAATATTCATTAATGCTAACCCGTTCAGTCTATTTTCAGTTATTGTGTTCCTGAGATATATTTTCAACCGTCTAAGTGTTGAAAATGATCTTTCACTAGTAGCAGTGGTAACTGGTAAACAAGCTAAAATATTTAAGAGTGTGTATATTGAAGGGTATATGTTTTCGTTACATTCGGCTAAAGCAGATACAACATTTGTTATGGGTTTTGATTTTATTTGCTGTTTCCATAATGAAAATTCCCCCAAAGCTGAATGGACATCAGCTTCAATATCAACTTCATAGGTTTTCAAAAGTACCTTAAAACTGTCATCACTATTTTCTATATCTTTCACCAAACAAAGAAAATTACTCAAAATTGATTTGTGTGCTAAAAATCTGTCGTTCAATTGTTGAATAAAACTATCCAAAAAAGGAATATATAAAGAGACTATAATATGACTCAGCCGAATCTGTGATCACATTTGTTCTATGATTTTGTTTGTTTGCTAACCTAGGGACTTTTATATTAATATCAAACTTTTCAGCTTTTTTTAATACATCATTGTATATATTTTTAAATTGATTTTCTGCTTCAGCTCTTCGTTGAGTAGTTACCTCTATTACATTTTCTGCAAGTTCTATTGCTTCAGTGAGATCTAAATGTTCATCTTGTAATTTTTTACTTAATGGTAAACTTACTGAAAAAACATTGACAAGAATAAAAATACAAAGAAGAAACTCTCCTTGTTTAATTGAACAGAGTAAATTACTGGCTTGAGATGATGTATCCCTGTCATTCCATGAAGAAATATTTTCTAATGCTTCTACAATAGCATCGTATAGTTCCAAAAATACTAACACTGCTTCGTGCCGTTCAACCCATCTAGTTGGGCATAATTTTTTAAGCTTTTTCTTTCTCGTATCTGTAATACATTTATCAATAGCCTTTTCTAAAACATCTTGTCTTTTAGGAGTCCTCAAAAATACACAAACAGCTTGTAAGGTTCCAGTAGCGTTGCGTATTGGTTTCAAATTGCAAGCATCTGATATACATAAATTAAGTGAATGTGAACTACAGTGTAAATACAATGCTAGTGGATATGATTCTTTTACTATTGCTTGCACTCCGTTAAATTTTCCTTGCATTGCAGATGCCCCGTCATACCCTTGACCACGTAGAAAATCTAAATTAATACCTATACTTTGTAGGGTATCCAACAATACTTTAGCCAAGCTTTTGTCACTTACATCTACCACTGGAACAAATTTCAGGAAGTCTTCTCTTAAAGTTTTTTTTTCTTTATCAAAGTAGCGTACACACAAACTAAATTGTTCAACACCGGAAATATCACAAGTCTCGTCAGCCAGAACTGTGTAACATTTAGACTGATTAATTTTACATACTAACTTATTAATAATAATATGGTAAATTGTATCAATTATTTCATTTTGAAATTCTGGACTTGTATACATGGCATTCTTTTTACAATTTTGTAAATGGTTTTTAAGTATTAAGTCACCCCCACTTACACGATATCTTAAGAATGCTCTGAAATTTCCATCGTTTTCTGTAGAATATAGTTCATCAGGCTGAAAGTGACCACTATCTTTGTGACCTCGTAGTGCCAATCCAGAATCCTTGACGCCCACACAATATAATAGTCTCTATAATTGGACGTAATATTTGCCTATTTTGTTCAATTTCAAGTTTTAGGTTATTGTCTAGTTGAACGGCAATATTATTTTGTTTTTTATTAAACACTGATAAAAATCCATCAACCTTTGAAACAGCAGTTAAATGATATTTATTTTTTTGATGTTCATTAAATTTATCAATCGCATGGGGCCAATCGTCAAATTTAGTTACAACAAACTTCCCAAGTTTTTGAGAACAAACTTCTTCAGGACCAAATGAAATGCAATATTTACAGTAAACACCATTATCAGATTTTGAATATGCCAACCACTTCCATCGATCAAGCCATTTATACTGAAATTTTAGATTTCTTTTTCCAGTTGCAATAAAATTGTAGGATGGTTCTGGATACCAAGTGTTCGTTAAAATTTGATATATTTGTTCTGAATCAATCTGCACAAATTATAATTATATTTTAATAAAATTATACTTATTGCTTAATAGGTTTATATAGATAGTTGCATACACAAGAAGTCTTACTCTCCTAAAAATAAATAAATAAATAGTAAATTAATTAAATTTTAATTAATTTACTACATACTTTAATTATTTAACTATTTAACTATTTAATATTTTTTATTTTTCTTCCATCAAATATTTATTTAAATTGTTTTTCTTATCAAATAAACACTGTCAATTGTAAATAATATTTTTCTAACCTGCTTAGTAGTGGATCGATTAAATAAACCAATATCAAACTTGTTCAAACAAATATTTTCAGAGTTTTTTATATTAACATTTCTTGAATTTGTATTATCTGATGAAATGTCTTGATCTTGCATCTAAAGCTGGTATTACAGTAAGCGTCTAATATAATTTAAAAAGCAATTAAGTAAAAAGCAATAGAGTTTATAGGTAATAATTAATAACTTTATTAAAAATATATATATTATATATTAATTATATTATATATTATGCTATATCCTATATATAGCATTAGCTTTTTTTTACACATATCATGCTCATTTAGTATATAATTATCAACCAGAAAAAATAAGCAAATGCATACAAATTTGGGCTCTGCCTAGAAGCATTCAATTTAAGCGATAAGCTAATAACCTATGTAGATATTTCAGTCTTAACCAGTATAATATAACTCAAATAAAATTACCTCATTGTTTTCTGCTAAAGGTTCGGATCTACTTTTTTTCTGGAAAAAGGATGTAATTGTATTTTTTCTTTTTTTTTGAAGAATCCATAACAACAATTAGCAAAATATTAAAAATTATTAAAAATTATTATAAAAACTAGAGAAACATACGAAACATCCAAACATATTGTGTCCATGTATTTTATAATGATAATATTGTTCTGTGATAATATTCATATTGATAACAACTAGACCTCAGAACTGTAGATAAATCTACAACCATGGTAAATTAATAATAAAATAATTGAATGATAATGATTATTATCATCAGTGCAGTCGATAACGTAAATTACATAATATGATTGTGTAGTGTAAATATTATCTGCACGAATGCAATTATAATACGACACTGTGTGCACTATTTAAGATAGAGACATAAAGTTTATCTTAAACCGTGGTAGTGTGTGAATACGGCATAACAGAATACATTTTACCACGACCAAATGATTGTATTCCTATATTATAAACATTATATTTTTGATATAAATACGGCTGAGGGGAGGGGTTTAACACCCAAACCCCCCCCCTGGCTACGCCACTGTATCACCATAGTAATCCTGCACCAAGTACCGTTTTCTGGTCAAATCGACCCCACCACCTGTGTTTGCAAGTATCCAAAATGCATTTCCCAAAAGCGGACATCCTAACCAAGCCAGGGATTTTGAAAATATTTGAACGATCCTAAAAAATTTATTGTTAAGACAATGCGTGTTATATTATTTTTTATATTAATATAAATAACATATTATATAAACCTGTAACTAATGTTCCCTGATCAATTGGAAAAAGTGGAATATTTACCGCAGACTAACCACATTTAAAATCATGACATGTATGATATTGAAAAATACTAGGGTCGTCAATAAACAGCTTATCGATAAGGATCGCCACATTAACTTGTGCATTAACTCTGTTAAATCGCCAATAAGCTGATTTCTCTTACAATAATCTCGAAGTACAATTATGCGTTCTTCGTAGAATTTTCTGTTTGCTCCTTCTTTAACTAAATGGCTAGCTAATTTTGAAGTTTTACACAACGCGTTTGTATCAATGTTATTAGAATATTCTTTCGAATCAAGATATGCTGTAGCCATATTGCCTGTATTACTGAATCAAATGCGCAAGTATTTATGATTTTATACTTTTTTTTATCTTTCTGCAACCTTAAACATAAAGGTCGCATAAAATTACCATTTCTTATTAAATCGATTCTTTTTTTGGAAATTTTTTTGTTGATTTTTTGTTTCAATTTTATTTCCGGATGAGCGTCTAAATAAACGGTGAGTTTCGCAGTGATTTTTTTTATTATAGGACTTGGTGGACTTGCTTTTTTTCTCCAGTTTTCGAATTCTTGTTCTTCATGATTATTACTAATAGGTACTTGATTTAAAATCGACTTCAGAATCCGAATTACCACTTCCACTTGATTCACAATTAATTTTATCATGAGAATTTGAAATTGACTGAACCTTACTACTGGGGAAATTAGCTAGAATAGAACTATCTTTGATAGAATTGTTTAATTTCATTTTTTTAATTTCTTTTTCATTTATATTTTCATTCACAGCAGCAAGTTTAATGTCACCCCTGATAGCTCGTAAGTGAGTCACTAAAAATTTATCTACACGCATTCTTGCTGTTTTCATTGATATTATCGGCGTTTTAAGTGTAGAAAAATATCCCTCAACTCTAGAAGATGATGCCTTGGTTTAGGTGAACCAAAATGTTGGACCATAACGGCTGACCATAAAGGAAATTCACTACAAATCCTCATCAATGGTTTTATCAAGTCTGGACAATAAAGTGCTCTAATTCTATCCCCGCATAAATCATTTGGGCTTTCTTCATCAATAAAAAATGTATCTTCAATGCTTATACCTTTATAATCGTCACTAGTGTTTTCATAAATTGAAATGTCTATGTTCCCTCGTGAAATAGACTCCATTAAATGCTTACGTGCATCTTCGGCAGGTGTATTTTTTAAATTATTGTCTACTCCATCCATGTTGGCACATGCAACAATAATTATCATTTCCAATGCACTTTTCAACATGTCTATATTTTGAGATTTAATGAGAAGACTAATACTGCGAACATAAAAGCCTTATAGGTTTACGTGCTGATGGACATTTCCATCGACATAACATATGTATGATATGTGCAACGTCTACCCGCACATAACAATCTGGAAGTAAGGATTTTTCACCGGTTAGAAAATCAAAACACATGCTGCTGTACTCTTTTAAAGATTTTCGGTTGCAAAAGGATCTTGTAATAGCACCAAGTAATGCTTTTGAGTAGTCACATACGCATTCATTTGGTATAATAACAGTGTTAACCCAACTCGCCATCCAATAATAAATAGATAGCATTTCCTGCTTTTCAGATAGATGTTGAGCTATTGGTACAGTTTGGTCTTCGATTTCTGCAACCATTTGGTATAAAAATATATGCGCCGATGAGATTTTACTTTTGGTTCGCATAATAGGTAGCACGAGGGATCCTGTAGCATCAACTGATATTGTCGTCCATGTCTTGCTACGTTTTGATTTATATATATGTTCTTGAGTAGGCGACAAATAATGACAAAAAAATGGATCACTACTAATACTGTGAAAGGTCCCACTATGTTCAACTTCGTGTTTTAAAGAAACTATATTATTAATGGGGTCATGTCCACCGATACTTAGTGTATTGTCTATGTATTGCTGTTTAGCTTTTCTGAGCACAGAACTTTTGTATAAAATGAGTGGTTCTACTACTCCATAATCAATTAATTTATCAACTGTCTTTCGTCGCCATTGACTAGCACCTCTGTTTATAATATCTTCACAGATTAAACTTCGTTTTGGTTGCTTTAAAAATCTTTTATTGGTGTGTTCAATACCTGTAGTGTTAATAGCTAAAAAATGTACTGTTACATTTCCTCCGGACTTTGGTTCGTTTTTAACGGCCCCCAAAAAAACTAGCACGGCAATTTTGATCACTGCATTGACCTTTAAATTAAATGTAATTGCTATGTATGGGTTTTGGAACGATGTGGTGATATTTAACGGAAAATGAACATGAAAATCTATATTGCTCAAAAAAATTATCTAAAAATACGTCAACCCATCCATTTTGCAATTTCCAAACGTTTCGCGGTCCTATTTTAGTTGGTTGAAATGTCATTTTTGGCTTAATAGGCTCATATGATGGATATGGTATGTTCACATTATAATTTTATTGTTTGCGTGTCTTTCATTTCGTTTCAAGCTTTTCATAGAAAATGATGTATCTATTAACAGAATAATTATTATTATTTTTTGCATAATATAATATTTTAGTTGCAGCTTAAATTTTATTTTTAGTATACAAATCATTACATTTTAATTTATAAGTATTTCTTTAGGTACTTTTTTTCAACATAATGATATTTTTGACAAGAAATTGCATACGAAGAATTGTACAAAAAACAATTCTGAGAAAAGTAGGTAGGTATGTCAGCCTTACCAGGGTGATTCTTTTATCATAAAACACTCAGTATTTCAAAAAGTATTAATGTTTTTGAAAATATTTTTTTACATAGTTCCAAGTTATTATAGGAAAATATTCTGCTTTGGAATATGAAATAAAAAAATAAAAAAAAAAATAAAAAATATAATTTTTTAATAAAAACGTTTTTTTAACAACTTGAAACTATGTAAAAAAATATTTTCAAAAACATAATAATGAGTGTTTCATGATAAAAGAATCACCTTGTATATTATTATAATACAATAATTATAAAATTATAAAAAATAAATAAAATCCTTATTTTTCGTTTATATCATATCTAATATCACCCTAAATTGAACTATATGAAAGAGACTATGTTTATTATATGCCTCTGACTTTAATTTTTGTTTAAAACAATCAATTACTTCATGTAAGATACCAGGGTTGCAATCAGTGGCGTTTTCTCTGGGTGTGCAAGTTGTGTGTTAACGCCCTAAACATTGATGTCATACATGTGTGTAATATTGTAATTTGTAATTCATATTAGTATATTACATGGTTATATAATTGTATTTACAAAATCTTAAAATAATTGTCATGTAAAAATAATAATATCAAATAATAAACTATTGTCTATTTTAAGCTCTAAACTCGACCATGCGCCCGCGCCGTCTGCAGCTACGACGCCGATTACGGAATAATATTGTATTATGTTGTGTTTGTGTAGGGTGTAGCTGTGTAGGACGTTAATGATTCGAACAACGACTTGTGGTATCTAATATCTCATATTCGTAATTTGTCGTGATATTTTCGGATAACTTCGGTGCCATGTTAATACTAGACCAAGTCGTTGAAAATGAAATTAACGACTAGCCACTACTCACTAGTCACTAGTCTAGCGCTAGCTTATACACTGTGTTTGGACCGTTAGTGGGGATCGTCGTTATCCTATTTGCGTCGTAGCCCATAGGTACTATACTGCAAGACTGTTATTATGAAAACATAATATTTAATAAATAATTTTAATAATATGTTGATTATTAATAGTTGATACGAATTTATTTCCCATAAGGGGGGTTTTCCTAATTGTTTTCCTCACACATTAACGCCTATCGCCGAAAGTCAGGAAACGCCACTGGTTGCAATGTCTTGTTGTTATCCATCTACGAATAGTAGAAGGATCTGGTAGTGTACTTCTTTGCCTTATAAACTCATATGCTCGAGGTGAATAAAAATGCAACGTTAAACAAAATTCCCGTATTTCTTCTGAATATGATTTATGATTTGAACCATTATTTACATTAGCGATTTCATTTTGAAAGAAAGCAAAAGGTAGAGAAGAATTAAATTGCTTCTTAAATATATCTTCAACAGTATCTCCAATTAAGTGATTATTTTTTAACAAATTTAACATTTCAAGCATACTACTTACTCGCTTATCTCTTCTAATTAATTTCTGCTGCAAAATCCTCTTGTCTCGACGTAAATCCTGTAATGTTCTATCTAATTCTTCTCCTGCTAATTTTGTCTGTACGCCAATGTCGACAAAATTGGTTCCAGTTTCACAAATTTCACTATGATGAACGGCTGTTGTTGTGGCTGTGACCTACAATACATTTTAAATAACTATTTTTCTAAAGAAAACAAAATTTCCTTATACATAATGATTAATGGTCATTTAATAATATAAAAAATATAAATACTTGTTTTTGTATGTATATTTACTTACTTCTCGTTGCAGAATTCTTCTCTCTTTTATTTTTGGTGTTAAATTATTTGGAAAATTAAGTATAGTTGGTACAGCAGATTTTTTCAACATTTGTTTCCCACTCACAACTGCTGAATAAAAATCATTTTCATTGAAATGCAAACTACATAAGGTTGAGCTGGAAGTAGGTTTAAAATCCTTTCTTCGTACAGCATGAACCCATTTTTGAAGCCTCTCTTTCTCTTTAAGAGGAAACCTTAAATATAAAAATAACATATGTACATTGTACATAATTTCTTTGAAATTATCAATGTGTAAAATAGGTATAGGTAGGTATAACACTTTATACTAACTTGTGAAATGACAAGTCTTTCCTAACGTCACTTGAGCTAATACAATTGAAACCACTACAGAAATTCACCATCTTAAATTCTTAACTACTCAGTACTCACTGTTTACTTTCCTTTAAGTTTGAATTTAAAATTTTACTCTTTAGTAACATAAAATCAAACGTTAAAGTCTTTGAAACATATTATGTGTTATCATATGTTATGTGTGATAAAAAAAGACAGCAGCACCATTCTTATCTGTTGTCTTTTTCTAACACGCTATTTCGGGTATCTTTACATTGGTCTTATGGCGGGTGAGCATTCCAGTTATCATATAGTTCAATGGTAAAAACCCATAAAACAGTGAATAATTGTTATTGTCAAAAAGTGGAGTAGAGTGGAATGGAAAGGGCGGTGTGTGTCCACAAATAACGTCTTTACGTCTAGATTTAGTTCAATCGTATTATAATAATTAATTTTTATTTGACAAAATCATTCAAAAAGTTATTGTTATATGTTTAAACCCCACATTTGTATAATAGTCATACTAGTAGATGAATTATTGATTATAAATACCTATAATAGATAAGTTATTATATAATATTGACACTATTATTATTTTTAATAACCAATTTTAGATTCTGAGCGGAGCGATGAATGTATTGGTTTTACAATGATGTATGTTTTTATATTTTTTTTTTTTTTTTTTGTGTCTGTCATCACGTTTTAGGACAGTAAAAGTGCTTGGATTTTCTTCATCAGTAGCTTTTCTGATAGGAAAGTGAATCTAGTTGGTACTTTAGGGTTTCCCAGTAGTTTTCACAAGCGCCGGGAAAAACAACATAAAAATTAAGGAAAAACGGGAATTTTTACGCAAAATTGGTTTTCCAAAAAATCGATTTTGGTTATTGTTGTAACTCTAAAACAAATGAACGTATATACGTATATACTGGTTGTTTATATTTGCATTTTCTATACACGATAAAAATTTAATACAAGGCTCCTTATATATTGTTACAATAGCAGTTGAAAAATATTAAAAATACATAGGCACAGTTTTTTTTTTATAAGCATTTAAAGATCAAATTTTGACAAAATTTATCAAAATCTCGAAAATTATCAATCATTGTAATTAATAAATTATAAAATGTTCAGTTTTTATAGCTAAGAATTACAAATTCAACACAAAGGTTCTCACAAATAGTTCATACTATAACCAAAAAATCTAAAAAATATATGAACACACTTATTTTTTACAGACATTTTAAATTCAAATTTGGACGAAATTACATATTAAAAAACCTAGAATAACTATTTTAGTTATTTTGTTGTGATTGAATAATAATTATTCGTGGGTACTTGAAACTTCTAAAGTGTACTATTATATATCTATGATAGTATCACGGTTTTTGTTGATGTATAACGCGTTATAAGTACCTAATGGATATTGTGATATGATTAATTTGGAATTCATTATAGGTCAATTTTTTTAATACCATAGATAAGTATATAATATGTCTTATACATACACTGACATACCGTCACCGCTCAGAATCGTTTTTCTTATACAATTATATTATATCATTGAATTCAAATTTAATACCATCCATTATACAGTGACCCACTTGTAACCTACTGTACAGCAGAGCGACACCCACTTGCCCACCTTTTTTATTGGTTTATTTTATATTTTATTTACCTACCTACCTATCTAAATATTAATTTTCCAATTGAAGTTATGATTTAATTTAATAGCCTCTTAGCTTAATGGTCTCTAAAAGCACACTAAAAACCATATATTAGCGATCTGCGTACATGTGTTTTAATTTTGAAAATAATGTACAGTTCTCCTAAATTATAACTAAGATAATTAAGGTAATTAAATGCAACTTACTATCTATTTTTTAAGAATATGGATATGCACCTAATTAATTCTTAGTTATGATTTGTATGATAGTTTATTAATACAATGAAAAGAGCGTTTCACACTAGAATATTATTTTTCAAGTAAGAGAAAAAAATCAGTAATTACATAATTTGAAATTAAGACATTTTACTCAAGCATAATATACTACTTATTCGTACTAATATGTTAATTAAGTACTTACCGATCTTCAGTTATAGATATTATATTATATCAATAGACTGCAATACCACGCGTCATTGTAGTCATGAGATTGTGATATTGATAAATGGTATATCATTATCAAAATAAAAAAAAATAATATAAAACATTTAGGATACATCTACATGATTTGATTATCACATACAATAAAAATAAACATGAAGTTGGACAATTCGACATTCGGCTTACTATTCAATTCTTCGTGTGAATTATTTTTATTTTTATAGATATCATAAAAACCTAATAACACATTGTTTTTTTAAATCAATATATTATCATTGGCCTTTTTACTCGTACAATTATTATTATCATAAATCCAAATTATTTAAACGCTGAAGGTGTCATTTTCGGCATCAATCGGGCTCTGGCAGCCATCGCCGATCCGAAATTGTCATTCGTCACTAGTAGGTAGGTACATGAAACCATTGATAATATATTTCATTAATTATGAATAATTATAAATAATACTATATATTATATTTTAACTTAAAAATATCTGAAATAAGTGTTCCGTCAATTGGGCATCGCATAAATATTTATTTAAAAAAATTAATAATTTAAATAAATAATACCTCGGAGTCAGTTATTATTTTACGTTATTTCTGTTTTTATATGGTCGCCGTAGTCGTGCATAAAATATTACCTATTAGAAATAATATTATAATTGTGGCACCTGATTTAAAAATACGCTCGTAAAATAGTACACTATTCTGCACGTAAAAATCAAGTTACTACTTGTATACCTGTATAATAACAAATATACAGAAACAAATAAATGTTATCTAAAAATAATAAACGGATGCGTTTTATAATTTATCTACCAGTAAAAAAATGTCCAAATATTTTGAGAATTGAGGAAGTGAATGCGAGACTAACTGCACCCAAAGTAGGTACAAAACAAAATCACCCAATCCACTGAAATGACATTCCTTTGTTGATAGAGATATTTTATAATATTAACATTAGGAGTACAAACATGCTTTATTTGTGTGACTACAACATTTGATTTTACCCACCTGTATCATTAAAGTCAGTACTATTATTATTAAACCTATATAATTTTATTTTATATTTATAATTTATATCTTGATTTTAGACTTTAAGTACAGAGTCGAGCCGCCTTAATGTTATACTTATTGATCGAATAGTTGATATGTATGCAGTTACTGATTTTTTTTTTTTAGATTCTGAGTGAAACGATGAATGTATTGATTTTACCATGATGTGTGTTTTTTTTAAATTTTTTTTTGGGTCTGTGTACACGATAAGTAGTCGAAATAATGCTTCGATTTTCAACTTCAGTATCTTGTTCGATTGGAAAGTGAATATCGTTGGTGCATTGGGGAGGTCAAAATTTAAATTTCACAGTAGTTTTCAAAAGCGCCGGGAAAAACAAAAGAAAAATTAAGGAAAAACGGGAATTTTTACGCAAAATCTATTTCGAAAAAATTGATTTTGGTTTTTGGTGTAACTTTAAAACAAATGACCGTAGATATATGAAATTTTCAGTGGTTGTTTATAATTGCATTTTCTATACACGATAACATTTTCAAAATATTCTGATTTATTTTGAACTGTTTAGGGACATTTTCATTTTCCATTTTTTTTTTAGTTTTTTTTCTAAAAATATCATTAAAAATTTTATTTGTTGGTTGCGAAAACTTGAAAATTTAATACAAGGCTCCTAGTATATTGTTTCAGAGGCAGATGAAAAATATTAAAAATCGTTACTCACAGTTTTTTTTTCTAAGCATTTAAAGTTCAAAAATTGACAAAATATGGAAAAATCACGAAAATTAGCAAATTATTTTGAGTTAAGAATTCGTAAAAATTTTCTTTTTAAATCTAAGATTTGAAAATGTAATACAAGATAACTCATAAGTTTGTCTACCTTAATCAATAAAAAAATCTCTACCGGACAGTCAAATTAAATTTTTATGAGCGTTTGAAATTCAAATTTTTACAACATCGATTTCTCATGTAGCGATTTCCTTATTTTGTTGTTATTCATAACCGAATAACTATAGATACATAAAAATTTCACTGAATGTTTATATTAGCATTTCCTATACACCATACAATTTTGAAAATATTTTGATATTTTTTGAGCTGTTTACGAATATTTTTATTTTTCAATTTTTTTAGTTTTTTTTTTCTATGAATATCAATAAAGTTAGGTCAATTTTTTTTTAATACCATAGATATGTTATAATTTGTCTTAAACCTAGACTGACATACCGTTTTCGCTCAGAATCGTTTTTCTTATACAATGATATTGTATCATTGAATTCAAATTTAATAGCATAAATTATACAGTGACCCACTTGTAACCTACTCTACAGCAGAGCGACATCCACTTACCCACCTTTTTTTAGTTTTAAATTATTATTATATTTATAATATGTAAAATAAGGGGTTAGAAAGTAAAATATCTCTGTAATGAAGTTTCAAGTTTGTTATAAATATTTAAAGCATATTTGAATTTTTGAAACTTTAAACTTTTTAAAATATCTTCTATTAACTCAATTAATTTTTTTTTTTTTAATTGCCCAGGCTTGTCTTATAGTTATTTAGTACTTACTTTCAATCTTTAAATCATTAAGACTAATAGGATCCACAGGATTGTCTTTTGATCTTTGATTTCTCAGTGTTCTTTTAGTGGTTTCTTCAAGCGGCATCTTGGACTTGGAACATTCGTCTAACTCAGAAACACCTTGAGCATAAATCTCGACTGGATTTGCACAAGATGTCTTTGCAGCTAATTTCATTTTGGATACAGCTATCATGGCATTTACTTCAGATTTGCTTGCAAAGTGATTATGTCATATTGTCACAGAATGGTCAGTTTTCAAGATACTAGTCCTTAGTATTGCAGGACAATTTGTAGTATTTTTCGTGGAGCATTTCCATGTAATATGGTTAATACCAATATATTTAACTGTGTATGTGTATCCTTTAAAAGGTATTTTGTCACCGCCTTTGTTGGATTTAAAAATAAATGCCTTGGATTTAAAAATTTCCATTTCAAATTTTTATACTATTAAAAACACTTTGACACTTCAGTGACTGTCAATAGACTAAATTTTGTTCACTCATATAATAGCAAAAACGTATGAAAATGTCTACATAGGAGTAAAGGTCACTGTGATCTCTACATATAGAATTTCCAGTAATAAAAATGTATTTTATTTTATATTATATATTATATATTAATATAATATGGAGATGAAGATTTGTATTTTTAAGGAGTTCAATATAGGCAATCAGAGATGAAGATTTGTATTTTTAAGGAGTTCAATATAGGCAATTTTCTGTGTGTGAATAAATATGGAAAATACGTAGATGATATATTATGTGGTATAATAATCGATAATGTATAACATGGTTAATATTATAAAATTACAAAAAAATAACTAAAATGATTATTCTTGGTTTTGAAATGTAGTTTTCTATACAAATTGTAAATTGTTCTTTTTTTCCGTGTTCTTTTTTTCGTTGGTCTTTTTTCCGGGATTCCTGGTCGACACCCCCGACGGGTAGGTAAATATTTTGGGTATTTACCCACTATAATATTTACCTATCAAAAACTTGGGTAAATATTTAGTTAAATTTTAATGAAACTTTAAATCATTTAGCTTATTGCAATAGATAACTATAGTTATTGCCACATAATCTTTTTTATTATTTTATTGGAAAAGTCAGGAAACAATCATAAAAAAGTATTGTGATATCCATTTATTAGTTTTAGCATAAAAAATAAATTTACCCAATTTACCGGGTAAATACCCTGTATTAATATACTTGGATATTATTACCCCCCCCCCCCCCCCCCGTTAAAATTGTTCGACAGGGGTGTAAACATATCTGAGGATATCTTCACAGGTGGTAAAAATATTTGACTGTATTAGAAACCTGTGACACCGGGTATTTACCTGAAATTATATTTACAGGGTATTTGCCCATCACTAGTCACCACACAATTCGTAATAACTAATAAGTAATAACGAATGTAATTCGTGTAATAAGTGCTATAGTATTCAATATAATATATATTTTATAGAGCAAAGGTTTAACAAAGGTAACAATAATGATACTCACTAGTATTTTAGACAGATTCATGTTCCTAATTCTAAATTGAAAATAGAAAATAGAAAATAATTATCTTGACAAAACATACTTATTTACTATTTAGTAAAGGCTAGACATAATTATATAAACTGATGTCCATTGTCGTAATAAATAATTAAATCATTTTTAAATTTGATATGATTTGAATTTCCATTTGATATCAATATTAAACAGTCGTGTACACGATATTGTTGAACTGGATCCAACAACACGGTATCATGGTTAATCGTGTGCTAAGAACTTATAAACACTGTTGTATACCATAAACTTACCATGAATACCAACCAATCACAGAGTAGTATTTTTATGCGCGTACACGAGAACGTATGTATAAATATATATATAAAAGTGGAAAGCCTCCTTAATATTAATGATACGACCGAAAACAAAGATAAGATGACCAAACGGCAAACCAGCGCTGATTCGAATCCCAGCCACGGGCGGCATCGATCGCTGTGCAGTCGCCAATCTAGACGGCGAGACCGCCACCCTTCAACCGTGGGCATGGCAGAAACCTACGGGTGTCCAAATAGAAATTCTGCCAAATAGGCGTCCGATATAGGCCTTTTTAAAATTATTTTCAAAGAATGTTTTAACATGATCAAAAAAATAGAAAACTTAATACAAGGTTCTTCGTAAACTTTTTTTAGGGTAATTTTAAAAAAAAAAGTTAGCTTAAATTTGTAATAATTTTTTATCAGTGTCTGAAGTTCAAATTTTGATCAAATTTTTCAAAACCAAGAAAATCTTCAAATTATTTTTAGTTAGAAATTTATAAAAATGTTTTTTTTTATAATATCTAAGATTTGAAAATTTAATACAAGATTCCTCAAAAGTTTTCCTACCTTTAACAATAAAAAAAAATTTACTGGAAAGTGAAATGGATATCTTATGAGGCATGAGCGTTTGAAGATTTGAAGTTCTTAATAAAATAAGTGTTTATTCACAAGTACATGGGTATTCATTCAATGAAACATGGTGTGTTTATTTACAAGGAAAACTTGATTTTTGTGGACGTATAATAAAATAAACAAATAACATTTATGTAGAAGCTAAATTTATATTTCTTTAAAAAAATATTTACAGACCTCTTAAGTAGGTACATTTTAAACATTATATTATTATTTACTTTATACGAAGATAGTTGGTAATTATTAGTTGATTATTATTTATTTTTAAAGTATAGCTTATTTATTTATTATCGTGATATGATATTTGACAATATCATATTCAGTAGATTTATAATTTATTAAATTATTACATTACTTATTATATTAATTAGATGAGAATTTTAGTAATTATTGATAATTTTAGTTTTATAGCTCTATATTGTATTATTTAGTTCACGATTTTTACATAATAATAACATTATATTATTATAATAAAAATAAACAAAGAAAAAACTATGTATTTATATTATATTGATATTTTAATTATGTGAGAAATATGTGTTGTAAATTGTTATTAATTAATGAATTTATTTTTGAAAATGTAACAATTAATGTAAAATTAAATATTATGCATCAATAAATAAATTATGTTAAAATAAAAATAACTGTCCCATTTGTTATTTGTTTTATAGGTTATAATTAGTTATAATACATTATAATAAGTAGGTACGTCTATCCACGTATTATCTATTTATTCCCATATAGGTGTTTTATTTTAATGCAAAAGTATGAAAAGCAAAAACATTACCCAAGAATTTTATTTTAGCAACATAGTTTTAAATATCCATTCAAACATATTCTTCATGGACGACTATAATAAACTAATGAAAATTAAAAAAAAATGCGTTTGTTAAAAATAGCCAACTGTTTTGTGGAAAATAATTATTTATTTATTTTGAGCTTTTAAAGGGGGCAAAGAACTTTTAACTAGTATGAATACCTCTATTCCGCTGGTCACGCTGTGGTTGGATTGATCGTCCGGGTCTAAACGGACCGTTGTTGGGCTACCAAAAAACGTAAACACTAGATATTTAACTGCTAAAAACGTTATATAGTCATTTACTTGTCAACGTATATCAGCATAGGACGTTTTTTGCAGAGCTGCTGTATTTATAAATATCCATACTATTTTAGGTAAGTAGGTACATTATGATACTTTGATAACAAATAAAAAAAAATCACATCTATAGTTAATACATTATTTCAATGAGCTGTACTACGTATATTTACATATTTATTTTTATATACCTACCTATTGGATTTTTACATTTTTTAATTAATTTGAATCGATATTAATTTTTAATAATACTAGATATTTCTAAACATATTCAAATATATTTAGTTTAGTTTTTACATTTTAAAGATTACTTAAACTATTTGAATAATTCTAAAATATATTTACTCCAAAAGTTTTATCGTAGAATTTTAATATTTAAAAAAACAGCCAGGGGAAAACGCTATGCTGTATAGTAAGACGTATCGAGTGGACTTCGGTAATTATTGTGTAGGTGGTCACTGTAATGGATGAGTTAGATAAGTAAATTTGAATTCAATAATAAATTATTGCATACAAAAATTGATTCTGAGTGGAGATGACAATAGTAATTTATTTTTCCTTTAATAATACCTTACGTTTAACTAATTTTTGTCCATATTACATAGTACATACTAATAAATTATTATAATAATATATTATTACAAGTTGTTATATTAACTTATAAGTATTCCGATGTAAGTACCGTAGAACGGTGTGCATAAGAGGGGTGACATTTCAAAAACGTACTATTTCCATTTTACACTTTTTGAGAATCACGATTTTCTATTTTTAATTACCAGTGAAAATAGTACGTTATGTTCAATTTGAGGATTGGTACGTTTTGCGTCAATTTGTCAAATGAACAAACTATATTTAACAAGGAAATCCGAAATAGTACGTTTTGGTTCAATTTGACCACGATATACGATTCTTCGTCCATTTTTACATATGAATCCATGTATAACTCAATTTTTTCAATTTTGGAAATAGTACGTTTTGAAATATCGCCCCTTGTTTGTAATATAAATAGATTAAAATGAATCATCATTGTTTTTAGTAAATAATAATATAATATATTAAGGTAAAAACTTTAAGGTTTTTATGAAAAAAGAACAATATTTTGAACTGTAATACAATTTGCAATTTTTAGTTTGAATAACTAATTTTATTGAAATATCTAGAACGAAAATTTGTATTTATTAAACTTTTAGGTTACTAGTATAGAATCATTGACAATAATAAATTGTAATTTAATTATAATATGATGTATATAGTTACAATAATTTGTTTGTGTGTTAAACTTTTAGAATAAATAAGAATTATTGAGAAACGTATAAGATATTATGATAAACTTGAATATTTTATATCGTAGATATTTTCAAATAAGAAATTTTACTTATCAGGAGTAAAAACTATATAATCGAACAGAGCATAAAAAATGCATTAGTCACTGTCAACTGTTTTGAATTTTTATTAATGTCGGCTCTAATTATAAACAATACTTCATAGAGAAAGGATATAGATTATTGTTTTCTAAGGTCTACATTCAAATTTAGTTTGTTCCAGCAAGAAATATTTGCTTCAAGGGTATACCTACTCGCCATTCCAAGACTATTTCATTGTTAAATGGGGTACCAAATAAGATTTCAAAACTACTAAAACCTTGTGATTT